GCGTGAAGACGTAGTGGTTGTTGCGAGCCCAAGCAAGACGAACGTAGCCTACCCTTCTGGCCCTTTCCCGAATGGGACTCCACCGACGGGCAATCCGACGGCCCTCCTTGCTGCAACCGGGGTCCTTCCGTGCACCTCCACGGGCCCGCTTTCCTTCCGGGATGTTATTACGGGAAGAAAAGATGGTGACAAGAGTACCTCGCAGCCGACACCCAAGGAGTTCCTCTTTGACGGGGACTATGAACACGCTTGCGGGACCATCATCCGCTCGGCGGGAAACAGAGTAAAGGTCCAATTCTCACAGGCCAAAGCTGACACCCTTGCAGGTAAGTAAGCTAATACCCTGATATTAAAGTTCACCTATGCTATCCCACCCCCCCCGAGACATAGCTGCTGGATTAGGAAAATTCGGATTTAAGGGTAGACTTTATTTTAAATGGTACAATTTCAATCATCTTCTAGTCTCGTTTAATCTCCCCGAAGATTATAATGAGGCATGGCTTAGGACTTCTATTCCCGTGTGCGGATGCCCAGCTAGGGTATTCAAGTACACTTCCAGGTTCAACCCAAAGACGGAGACGCCGGTCGTCCCCGTGTGGTGCCGCCTCCCCGGCCTCCCACCTCATCTGTATGACTGGGATTCCATCACTACACTTGCTAAGTGTGTCGGAAAATCGGTCCGCGTTGATGCCCTGACTACTCTCCAGTCCAGGGCTAATATGTCGCGGTTCTGTGTCGAGATCGATCTCAGAGTGGAGCCTATCCACGAGATTGAGCTTGAGCAAGGTTCGGAGACCTTTGCTCAGCGGGTGTTCTACGAGAAGATCCCTGCTTTCTGTACCGCGTGTAGCCATGTTGGTCATATAGCGACCGACTGCTATATCAGTGGCAATAAGCCACGACCCGCTCCATCTCAGCGCCGTCGTACGGCCCAGCCGGGACCCTCCAACAGCTGGAGGGAACCGAAGGGAAAGGGCAAAGGCCCTCTCCAGACACCCGGGTCCTCAAAGGGGGCCACGGATAAGGGCAAGGCGAAGATGGACGCCAATGCCCAAAATGGAAAGGATGCTCATCCTGACCAGTCTGACCGTTTGGTCATAGTTGGGCCCAAGGCCAAGGCCACGGGCTTTATTCCCAGAGAGACACTTCAGTCGGCCTTCAAGGCCAAACACTCGTTCTTTGCTCCCCTCTCTCCTGAGTCAAAGGATGAGGCTGAGCCTTTCTCTAGGGACCCACATTCTCTCTCGGATCTTGGCCTTTTAGATGACGACGACCTTCTAGTAGATGATCTAGAGCAGCCGCCCACTTCGCCCACTGGATCGTCCATCCATTTATCTCATGACAGCATTCGTGATGCTGTTCCTTTGCATGTTCACTCACATAGTCAGGATTGCCCTCTGGAGATGAGGACATCTCTTGCCACCGCTTCCTCGAAAGGGGAATTGCAGCCTCATCTCCCCTCTGCGGAGATTGAGATTTCGACTGAGCATATAGCTCTCCAGCCACACTCTGACAGTAAGCACCCGAGTGCTCTGCCGGATGGAGTCTCTTCTCCTTCCTTCCCGGAGCAGGCATGTGGTCTTAACCGCTCAGCACGACGTCTCGTACGAGAGTTTTTCCTCCAGTGCCTTTGTGCACCATGACAGACAGAAGGCATGCCCGGAGATGGGGCAGGTTCCTAGTATCAGTCTTGGTCAGACTGATCAGCCTGACGATTCGCAGGCCACTAGAGCTTTCCAAGGGCGTTCCCCCTCGAGTGGTTAATAGGGCCACTCTTGCTCACCTTCGCTCTCTCATTCGTGATCATAGATTGGATTTTGTAGGCTTTATTGAGCCGATATTCGTACACCTAACTTTGACTATTACTCTCGTCGATTGGGTCTCCATTCCGGCATGGGTAACATTTCCCATAAGATCTTCTTCTTCCACTCGCGTGATTACACTTGTCGGGTCCTCCGGGACACTGATCAGGTGCTTCATATCGAGCTTTCTGCTGCCCATCTCCCTGAGCCCATATTCCACTTTTGGTTTATGCCAAGTGTAATAGAGTCGGGAGATACGATTTGTAGGACACCCTACGTGAGATGGATGAGAGTATGGATGGATTTCCATGGATGGTTAGTGGTGATTTCAACATCTTTCTGTACCCCGATGAGCGTGTGGGTGGCCGCACGGACCGGTCTTGGGAGATGTGGGACTTTGTTCAGACTGTGGCGGACTGTGAGTTGATAGATGCTGGATGTGAGAGTGATCCCTTCACATGGGTTAGGGACGACCTCAAAAAGAGGCTCGACCGTGCTTTGGTCACTGAGGCATGGTCGGAGATGTTTGCGGTTACGGTCGTCACGCATCTCACTCGATTTAGGTCTGATCATTCACCCCTCCTCATTAGGTGTCGTTTTTCGAGTATTCCCCGCCAAGCTTCCTTTAGGTTCCAAAACATGTGGGTTCGCCACCACTCTTTCCATGACACTGTTAGGGATTCCTGGCTTCAACCGACTGGGCTCTTCGGGATGCACAATCTCGAGGCTAAGCTCGGCAGATTGCGGCGTAGGTTGAGACAGTGGAACTGGGATGTTTTTGGAAACCTCCATCAACGCCTTCCTGCGGCACAGAGTGCGCACGTGGAGGATGAGCGGTCCTATGATCTGGATCCTACTCCGTAGAATAGGACTGCGATGCACCGCTGCCATGTCGAGTACCAGCTCTGACTCCTTATGGAGGAGGAT